GGACCGAAACATGATATCCCAGAGATGTTCTATTGGAATTAGCTCAGGTGAGCGTGGGGGCCATTCAATGGAATTAATTCCTTCATCCTCCAGGAACTGCCTGCATACTCTCGCCACATGAGGCTGGGCATTGTCGTGCACCAGGAGGAACCCAGGACACACTGCACCAGCGTAGGATCTGACAATGGGTCCAAGGATTTCATCCCAATACCTAATGGCAGTCAGGGTGCCATTGTCTAACCTGTAGAGAGGTATGTGCGTCCCTCCATGGATATGCCTCCCCAGACCATCACTGTTTCCCCCCCAACCACCAAAACGGCCATGCTGAACGATGTTACAGGAAGCATAATGTTCTCCACGGCTTCTCCAGACCCTTTCACATCTGTCACGTGCTCAGGGTGAACCTGCTCAAATATGTGAAAAGCAAGTGGTGGACCTGCCAATTCTGGTGTTCAATGGCAAATGACAATCGAGCTCTATGGTGCCTGGCAGTGAGCACAGGGCTCATTAGTGGACGTCGGGCCCTGAGGCCACCCTCATGAAGTCTGTTTATGATTGTTTGGTCAGAGACATTCACATCAATGGCCTACTGGAGGTCATTTTGTAGGGCTCTGGCAGTGCTCATCCTGTTCCTCCTTGCACAAAGTAGAAGATTTTTCTAACAATTCATGTTAAAAAGGTTTAGCGGTACAGATTTGCAGATATTTGTGATATTTGCAGATATATGTGAAAGTCGCAGTGCCTTGCCAAGGCCTCTGTAAACTGTGGTCCTGATAGTCTCCAAGTTGGAGCACATATGGCAGTGGATAAATTAAGGGCAGGTGGACCTGATCAGGGACACACTGGACACCCAGCAAGAGCACAATGGCAGCTGAAGGCATTCAATGTGTCTCAACGCCAAATCCAACCTATAGAAAAAGATGGCAACTACTACAATTTATAACTGGCTGTGCAGTTGGAAGGGCAATGCACATCACAAAAAAAAAAAAAAAAAAAAATCTCAGCACACTTATCAGCTAGCCTGCAAAAAACCCAAACAAATTGACCCTATCTAACAATTCATGTTAAAAAGTGGAGTTAGTTGCACACATTTTCAAATACACTGCTCAAAAAAATTAAAGGAACACTAATTAGAGTATAGCATCAAGTCACTTAAACTCCTGGGATCTTGATCTGGTCAGTTAAGTAGCAGAGGGGGTTGTTAATCAGTTTCAGCTGCTTTGGTGTTTATGAAATTAACAGGCGCACTAGATGGGCAACAATGAGATGACCCCCAAAACAGGAATAGCTTTACAGGTGAAGGCCACTGAAATTGTTTTCCCTACTCCAATTTTCTGATTGTTTTTCACTAATTTTTCATTTGGCTAGGGTCAGTGTCATTACTGGTAGAAAGAGGCGATACCTGGACCCTACAGAGGTTGCACAGGCTATCCAGCTCCTCCAGGATAGTACATCAATATGTGCCATTGCCAGAAGGTTTGCTATGTCTCCTAGTACGGTCTCAAGAGCATGAAGGAGATTTCAGGAGACAGGCAGTTACTCTAGGAGAGCTGGACAGGGCCGTAGACGGTCCTTTAACCCATCAGCAGAACCAGTATCTGCTCCTGGTCAAAATTTATATACAGGGTCTGTCTACTTTAGATGTGGACCAGCATGCTGTTAAATGTGCTAAACAAATGGCGCTAGCCTTGAACTTTAAGTGTGGCACAGCACTGGATACTAGTCATGTGCTTCTGTTCTGACAGATGGTTGATGTGTGTTAACAGAGATCGCTATGGTGAAGTGTTGTTCAGCACATCAAACTTTCAAAAAGGCCTAATTGTCTAAAGATCTGCCAAGAAAATTGGGCTTTTCACACAATCTGAACTGTAAGGATCTGTCACTCAAATTGTCTATCTAGCAGATCTTCATCTTGGCCTTCACAGTCTGCTAGATCAATGTGTTCATTACCCTTGTTCTGTCCACAGATACCTTTTTTCTGTTTTTCAAGCATCTCTTCAGTGTTTCTAAAGCTAAAGGGGGACATTCATCCCGTTCTAACTTTGAAGGCAGTAAACACATTTGTTCTCCCCGAAGTTCTGGATGGAATCTCTATGTTCAATGAGAGCATCTCTTCATTTGGAAGCTTTCCTAGCCTCTGAAGATTTCAGGAATGCCTACCCTTATGTTCCCACCAATGGGTCATCTGTGTTTTTTTTTGCACTTAAAAGTGGGAGAGCACTGTTTCCAGTTTGGTGAACAATGACAGAGCTGAGGTTTATGACACAAAGTGCTTTTCCTAGTTCTGGCTCTTTTCCATTGGAGGGGCATTCCCATTGTTGGTTACTGAGCCAATCTTTTCGTGAGAGAACAGTGTTGGATCCGAAGTCCAATATGTTTTTTGTATTCAAATATTTGATTAAATAGAGTATCACAAAAGCCATCACATGTAACATAACCGTTATAAATAAAGAATGCTTCCACGCAAGGAGTGGTACATTGTCAAGTTCCATTAACATGTCAAAACAAATGACAACTGAAGACAATAATCCAATCGATTTATGAACAAAGATAGACCATCAAATAATGGCTTTTAGTAACCTTATATCTAGAGTAGAGGTAGAAAAAGATAAAAAGCTGACGTTTGGATGGCCTGGGGAAAACTAGGACCAAGCACAGTCAGTGAATTATCCAGCAATATACTAATAAACAAGAAAAAAAAAAAGGGGGGGGGTAAAGGGATGGTTCTGGAATTGAACTTGCCATGGTCCCAAGAGCACAGTCAACCGACAAGAATAACAGGGCAGCTAAGGCTCCATAAAGGAGATGTCAAAAGTAGGGTGCAAAAATCTATCGACCCAAAGTTGCCAGTTTTTGCAGTATCGTCTCACCTTGTCCTGGGATGTTGCTTCTATCTTGGTGAGTATCATTGCCTGGGTGACTATTTTTTTGTGGTGACCACACAAAGTACCGGCATCTTCCTGGCTTTGGCTATTGTCTGCTTTGCAGCAGTCATGATGGAGAAGAGGAAACTACATTGGTTCCTGGGCAGCTCCAAGGGATTAAAGTTCAGCAGAGCTATTCATGGATCGGGTGAAATCAACTTGTCAAATAACAAAGACAGGTTGGAAAAAATGTCTTCCCAATAGCACTGTACAATGGGACAGGACCACCATGCACAGTATATAAGTATAAGACTTTATATGATGTTTCCAAAGCAACAACATTTGGAGAAACCTTATGTGTTATCTACCAAATCTCCAACCAATCCTTTGGGGAAAGGTCTAAGGCTAGATCTGTAGTCCATTTGTCAACATAGGCTGGCGGGGGTGGCTGTGGTGAGGATAACAATGTTGTGTACAATTTCCAAAATGTTTTTTTTTACTTCTGCAGATTTAGCATTCAACTGAATTCCCACTATCTGCAAAGTCCTGGTGGATGCCCTTGCTGATGCCAGTTTTAGTTGCAAAGCTTTGCTAGATGCCTCTGTTGTTTTGGGGTTGTCTGCCCCTCTTGTTTGAACTAGGGTTTGCTGCTCCCCTATTAATATGTGTGGTGTCAAAAGATCTAGGCTTGATGAGTTTTACACAGTTCCCACACACAGCTAATGTGCAAATTAACCACTTGCCTACCAGCCACAGTGTATATACTGCGGCAGGGCGGCACCACTGTGCTAAATCACGTTTTAAAACGTCATTTAGCAAAACAGGTTGGGGGCGCGCGGCCGCGGGTGTCAATCACCGGGTCCCGGCTGGTCAGTACCCAGCGATTGCCAGCAATCACTGACATGGAGCACAGCTGCATTTTTTTCAATGCAGCTCTGCTTCCTGTCAGTTGCCAACACACTGTTCCTGAGAGCGGAGTTTAGCTCTCGGGATCAGTGTGTTCCTGTGAAGAACACTCCCCCCCGCCCACTAGTAAAACACTCCCCTCACACAGTTAACACTTTGACTGCCTAAAAAGTTAACCCCTTCCTCCCCAGTGCCATTAGTACAGTGTCAGTGTTTTTTTTTTTTTTTTTTGCACTGATCACTGTATTAGTGGCACTGCAGCTGTCATTGACCCCAAGTCAGTTCCCCTCCAGTGTCAGAATGTCCGCCGCAGTCCCATCATAACTCGCTGATCGCCGCCATTATTAGTATAAAAAAAAATTTAAAATCCAGTATCTATACCGCCATTTATAGACGCTATAACTTTCATGTAAACCAATTAATTTGCATGTATTGGGATTTTTTTTTCAGCAAAGGCATCGCAGAATACATTTTGGCTGAAATTTACGACAAAATTAGATTTTTAAATTTTTTTTACTGGACGTTTTATAGCAAAAAAAAAAAACGTCCAAAATATTGTTTTTTTTTTTTTTGTCAAAATTGTCAGCCTTTTTTTTATAGCGCAAAAAATAAAAAACGCACAGGAGATCAAAGAAAGCCCAATTCGTGGGAAAAAAAGAACTTAAATTGAATTTGGATGCAGTGTTGCATGACCGCACAATTGTCAGTTAAAGTAACGCAGCGTTGTAACACAAACGGCTTCTGTAACCGCTTCCTGACCGCCCTATAGGAGAAATACTGCTACAGGGCGGCATGGATGTGCAAAATCACACACATATATATATATATATATATGTGTATATGTGTGTGTGATTCGCGCTCCTGTGGTGTTCACGCCCCTCCCAGATAGCGTCAGATTGCCCGTCAGTACACCAGTCATCACATTTAACCCCTTGATTGCCAAGAACACGCTCATGCACAATAAACCTCCATTGCTAGTATAGTGTCTGAACGGATCAATATCTTTGATCAGATTAGCACTATACCAGCGTTCACATTAGTATAGCATCCCCAAAAACGCAGCATTAGTGGTATCAGCCCCAGCACCTGTGTGTAGCCCCTACGCTTACCCCCCCTTCTCCCCCAGCAAGTGCAGTGTCAGTAGGTCACTGTCACTTGATACATTACACACAAAACCGCAGTGTTCTCAGAATCAGGCCTGATCTCTGTTAGCACTTGTCAGTAAATTTTGATGACTCTCATATGCAGCAGAGTGCCAGTACTAGTGCCACGCTACCTTTTGGCGAACTGGCGAGTACTAGTGGCCTAGTACATCCTGGTCTTTTACATATCTCTTAGATTGTAAGCTCCCAGGATCAGGCCCTCCTAAGCCTCTTGTATTGAACTGTATTGTCTCCTGTTATATTGTAGCGCTGAGCAAATTGTTGGCGCCATAAATACTGTATAATAATAATAATACGAGCACTGCAGTATGACTTGGCGACGTGGCGAGTCCCATAAGTGTAGTATAAGCTGGTGCGGTGGCGAGCACAAGTATTGTCCCACAACCACCAAGAATTCGCACACAGGCCTGTAGAGCCCCTAGTATCATTCCGGATGTGCTTGCAAATCCCGATTGACAGCCCACAAATTCTGCAGCACCCGTACTTCCCCCATTCACTGCCCAACCCGCAATTCAGGTGGAAATAGCAAATTTAACTCCTCCCTTTGATTTTTTGAGCTGTTTTTCACAGAATATCTGTATGCGTTGATTGTGGATCAAAGCAATTTATATGCACAACAATTTATGGCCGCCAACCCAAATTCAAACCTTGCTAGACCAGTCGCATGGAACCTCATTACGGTTTTCGAATTTACTTTTTGTTTGGGCCTAACCCTCAACCTGGGCATTACTAAAAGAAATTACTGTATTTTTTCGCTCCATAAGACGCACTTTTTTCAACCCAAAAAGGGGGGGGAAATGTCAGTGCGTCTTATGGAGCGAATATAAAGCGACCGTTCCGGTATTTCCGCCGCCACCATGTCAGAATACCGGGCCGGCCGCTCAGCTGTTCTCTGCTGCAGGACCTTACCTGTTCCTCGGTCCAGAGCTGCACAGTCTTCCCGCGCTGCCTTTTTCCTGTGCCGGCATCTGTGACAGCTGGGTGCGCATGCGCAAGAAGCACTGCGCTTTGTGAATGGCCCGGCGTCTTCTGGGACACATGACAGGTGCCAGAAGAGCCGGGCCATTCACAAAGTTCAGCACTTCTTGCACGGTGGGCACCCGGCTGTCACAGGGAGGACAACTCCGCGGAAGTGGGAGCGGGTACCTGTCAAATTCAGGTACCTGCTCCCCCTCCCTCCCTAAAGGTCCGCAGTCTCTGGTCATCTCCTGTACTGTCTGCAGTCTCTTGGTCATCCCCTGTACTATTTCTGCAGTCCATTGGTTCAGAATATTTTTTTTCTTGTTTTTCTCCTCTAAAACCTAGGCGCATGCTATGGAGCGAAAAATACGGTAATTGCAGTTGTATTGGTCAACAGACCCGATTCATCATATGCCCGTGTTCTCTGCTGCCATGGCCAGGCATAGATATGAGAGTATAATATGTTTTATGCATTTCAATGTCAATACACTCTGTCATCCTGAGGGTGACCCTGAATTTGACCGGCTCCACAAAATTCAGCCCCTCAAAAATCACCTTAACCAAAAATGTGCAGATGTCTATACTCCACAGCAAAACATCTGTGTTGATGAGTCCCTGATTAATTTTTCTGGCCGACTTGCATTCAATTTCTCCCCTGCAAGCGTGCCAGATATGGGGTCAAGATGTAGACGACCTGTGAGAGGGCAACAGGCTATACTTATAAGTTTCAAATTTATGAGGGAAAAGATAGTCACGTGGAGCCCCTCGGATGCCCAGACTACATGGGGAGCAGTGGCAAGATAGTTGGGGACTTGGTGTCATCCTTTTTCCATATGGGGTACCACTTATACATGGACAATTTTTATTCAAGGGTGCCACTATTTAGACATTTGTTCAATCTTGGAACTGGCGCATGTGGCAAAGTGTGACCTAATGTGTGCCCACCATTAGAAGTGGGTGGATACAGGGTGGTATATTCTAATGGTGGGCATACCACACACTTTTTCTGGCAGAGTTTTCTTTTTTTTTTTTTCATTCAGTCCACAGGCTGCATACAAAAAAAAAAAAGAAAAAAAAAAAGAAAAAAAAAAAAAAAAAAAGTAGTATATACACCCAACAAGGATCAGCGATGTACTGGTACATCACTGGACTCTGAATGGTTATACCAGGATGATGCCTACAGCTGCAGGCATCATCCTGGTATAAATTTTTCCAGCTAGTGATCGGCTTTCAAGTAAAAGCAATCGTAGTGGCTAATTAGCTGCAGGATTGCTTTTACAAGCAGCGGGAGATGATGCCCCCCCCTCCCCCGCTGCCTTCCACAGCCTTCTCGGGCAGTTTTTTCTGCCATCGAGGGAACCTGAGTATGCAGCCAGTGTTTCTGACAGCTGACCATAGAGCTGATTGGAGACCAGAGTGGTACCAATCATCTCTATAGTCTAAGAATTCGGAAGCTACGAGCATTTCATCACTTCAGTTTCACAGGCTATACACAGCGCCATTTGTAAATTGGGAAAGCATCTGATCACACCAATTTTGGTTTGATTAGATAATGTAAGGGCAGAGGCGATATCTAGAGTCTGATAGACCCCAGATTTCTCAAAAAAGAATATATGACAATGCCCATTGAAGTTATAGGGGATATTTGCATTCCCTGTGATAGCATTAAAAGTGATCAAAAAAAAAAAGAAAAAGGTACAGTGTAAAAATAAAATCAAAATAACTTTAAAAATAAATGCCCCCTCCCACATACCTGTGAGCGTTGACCTTGTGGCGGCATGTAAACAGCGTTTGCACCATGTATGTGAGGTAGTGCCGTGAACGTCAGATCAAGGGCAGTAATTCTAACACTAGACCTCCTCTGTAAATCTAAAATGGTAGCTTTTAAAGCATTGCCTATGGATATTAAAACTGTATGCAGTTTGGCACCATTGCACGGGGCATGCGCAGTTTTAAAGCATGTCATGTTTGGTATCTATTTACTTGGCATACCATTATCTTTTACCAAATAATTGGCCAATATATTGTGTTTTTGTGCATTAAAAGTATTTTTTTTTTTTAAATTTGCTTTTGAAAAATCGCTGCGCGAGTACTATGTGCCATAAAAAAAATTGTAGTATCCATTTTATTCACTAGGGTGTCTGCTCTAGAAAATTTATAATGTTTGGGGGTTTAAATTCCCTAGTAAAAAATACTGATTTTTCTTCATGTGAACAAAGTGTCAGAAAAGGCTTGATCTTCAGGTGGTTAGAGTGAGTGATGTGTGGCATAAAACTTCTAATGCTGGGCATAGAATGCCACCGCCACTGCCCCCCCCCCAAAAACAGACCCTTTTTTGGAAAGTAGACACCCCAAACTATTTGCTGAGAGGCATGTTGAATCAATAGAATTTATTTTTTTGTTTTTGGAAAAAATGACTTTTTTACACAAAATTATTTACTGCTCACACGTGCCATGGGTATATGTGGAATTACTCCCCAAAATACATTCTGCTACTTCTCCCGAGTATGGGGGTACCACATGAGACGTTTTGGCAGTCTAGCCAAGTACAGGACCCCAAAATCCAATAAGCACCTTCAGGCTTTTAAAGGGCTTTATTTCCTCATTACACTTCCAGACTACCTATCACAGTTTCGGAGGCCCTGAAATACCAGGATAGCACCTAACCCCCCTCCCCCCCCCCCCCCAAATGACCCCTTTTTGGAAAGTAGGCACCCCAAGGAATTTGATAAGAAGCATGGTAAGTATTTTGCAGATCTCATTTGTTGCCACAAGGTTTTGGAAAATGAAGAAAAAAAACTTTCTTTTTTTAGATTAAAAAGAGGCATGGTGAGTATTTTGCAGATCTCATTTTTTTCTAACAAGGTTTTTAAAATTCTTTGGGGTGTCTACTTTCCAGAAAGGGGTCATATGGAGGGGTTTGGTGCTATCCTGGCATGTCAGGGCCTTCAAAACTGTGATAGGTAGTGAGGAAGTGTAATGAGGAAGTTACGCACCTTCAGGCTTTCAAAGTGGTCATTGAATTTCAGGCTCCTGTATGTGGCTAGGCTACCAAAAAGTCTCACACACGTGGTATCCCCATACTCGGTAGAAGTAGCAGAATGTATTTTGGGGTGTAATTCCACATATACCCATGGCTTGTGCGAGAAATAAATCATTTAAGTGACAACTTTGACATTTTCCAGAAACTTGTGGGGAAAAAAAAAAATAAAATCTTCCATGGACTCTATATGCCTCTCAGCAGATAGCTTAGGGTGTCTACTTTCCGAAAAGGGGTAATTTGAGGGTGTTTGTACTATCCTGGTATTTTAGCACCTCAAGAAATGTGATGGGCAGTCAGAAAGTACAAACTATGGTATAGATAATGGAATTTACACAGCTTTTAGACAATATAGCTTTCACACAAAGCAGTAAATATACACTTACTGGGATTTTTTTTTAACCAAAAACAAGTAGCAGAATACATTTTGGCCTAAATTTGACGAAATTAGTTTTTTTGGATATTTTTTATGACCGAAATGAGAAAAAAATTTTCTGTTTATAGCGCCAAAAATAAAAAGTACACACTTGATCAAATCCCACCAAAAGAAAGCTCTATTTGTTGGGAAAAAAAAAGGACATAAATGTCATTTATGTACTATATTGCATGACCGCGCAGTTGTCTGTTAAACTAGCGCAGCACTGTATAGCAAAAAAAATGGCATAAATTGCAGTATCTATACCATAGTTTGTAGACACTATAACTTTCACACAAAGTAATCAATATACACTTATTGGGATTTTTTTTTTACCAAAAACATGGAGCAGAATACATTTTGGCCTAAATTTATACCTAAATTTTGAGTTTACTATATATTTTTTATAGCTGAAAGTAAAAAATATTGTTTTTCTTCAAAATATTTGGTCTTTTTTTGTTTATAGCATGAAAAATAAATAGCGCACAGGTGATCAAATACCACTGACAGAAAGCTCTATTTGTGTGAAAAAAAGGATGTAAAATTTTGTTTGGATGCAGCATTGCATGACCGCGCAATTAGTTGAATTAGTGCAGCACAGAGTAGCAAAAAGAGTCCTGGTCAGGAAAGGGGGTACATCCTCAGGAAGGCAAGTGGTTAAAGTGATTCTAAAGCTAGGACATTTTTTTTTACCTTAATGCATTCCCTGCATTAAGGCAAAAAAAAAAATGTCCCAGTAATTTTATTACCCCCTCACCTCCCTAAATACGGTGAGTCCTGTCTTGATCTAGCGCTGACTCTGTGTTCCTCTCCTCACAGGACACAGCGGCAGCTACTGCCTGCTGTCAATCAAATCTTGGAATGAATGAGCTGGGGGTGGGGCCAAGCCAGTGTGTGTGTGCCTTGCTTGGGAGTCAGCCTGCAGATCCGCCCACACTCAGAAAAGGAGGAGCCAAGATAGCCAGTAAGGGACCTGAAAGAGGAGGTTTGGGGCTGCTCTGTGCAATACCATTTTTTTTTTTTTTATTTGTATATAGCCCTGTTGGGAGAAAGGACTTACATGAAACATTAAGGGTCTGAAAACTTACACAGCAGGAAACTGGGAACAGAGCAGGGTAGGTAGTGTCAGGGGTAGTTGCTCAGGTTTTAATTCAATTCTGCAATAAGCTCATGGTCAATGAAGTGAAAATGCCAGAGATGTAAGACTTACTGAGATGGCCAGCTAGAAGTCTGTGCGTCTTAAGTTTTCCGTTGCTGGTAGTCAAATTTTTATTGTTGATAAACAAAGTTATGTACTTTGAGGGTAAAAAAATATGCATGTATCATAAATTCTAGGTAGGAGTACAAAAAAAAACAAAAAACAAACAAACAATACCAGGATTATGGCACATTTCTGCAGCCATGACCCCAGTATTCCACTCCCAACCGAGGATGTCTTTTGTCTATGGCCCAGTTGGGAAGTGGATAACTATGTAATTCAACCTGCACGGGAGGTGCAGAAATCCTATTTTGGGCATTGCTTTGCTGCTTCAGGGCCTGGATAGTTTGCAGTCAACTATGAGTTTTGCGAAATATGTGCCTAATGTGAAGCCATCTGTCTGAAAACATAACCCAAAATATATAGAATGGTCGTGTCAAAATTGGCAAATCATGCAAGGAAACCCACAAACATCTTGCAACTGAAGGAGTTTTGTATGCAGTTGATCTCTCAGACTAAGGGCAAGTTCACACTACAAGCATTTCAGTGCGTTTTTTTTTTTCTTTCCTGCATCCAAAAACTTACAGAAAGTATGTTATATGGGTGTCAATGTCATAGTTCACACGTGCTTTTAGTTCCAGTGAGCTCCGAATGCAGGAGAAAAAAAAAAGGCTGCATTTTTCCTGCACAGAACTGTACTGGGACATGGTAAAACACATCAAAACCACACTGAAATGCACCAAAAATGCGCTGGAACACGCATGTCCCTATTGTAATTGAAAAAAAAGAGGGGGGGGGGGGGAAACACACCAAAAATGCGCATGTAGAAAGGCATCCGGAATACATCTGGACTGAGTTTCTATAGTGTGAACTGACCCTCATGGGCAGTTATGTAAATGCATAAAAGTAGTTTCTGCTGCAGACCAGCTTTTGAAGCCAAGGGTGTATTTCTATTTTCCACAGTACAACATTACATCTAGTGACGTTTTTGTTGAATAAAGGATTGAAAAGACAACATTTTCCTTGTATTTTTATTAAAATCCTACACATTTAGCTGTACGTCCTGTATGAATAGGGATTCAGGGTTTGCCTGTTGAAAACATTTTTATAGGTGTACTTTTTTCACGTGACTAAGTGCAATATGATTTAAAGCATTAGGGCATATTAGCTAAACTCTGGGTTAGGTGATCCCTGCAGTGAGGCTCCTTTTGCCCATTTTGTTGGGGGGGGGGGGGGGGGGGGGGGGGGGCGGTAGAAGAATAAGCAGCTATACTCCCCATCTCATTTCTCTGCACAGGAATGTGGACAGACCCTCACAGTACATTGTATGAGACTGGTGCCTAATGGTAATCATCGGGGGGGCCAAGTTGTACAACACAGAGCAAAGCCTACGGGCCTGAGAAGTATGGTAAGTTTAGCTGCGTATTTCTCTATCCGTAGACAAAACAGGCATTTAACCCTTGCAGTGCAGACCCACTGTAAGGGTCATTTTTTTTCCACTTAAACCAGAGTTCAGCTTAAATACATTATAGAACACAGACTCTTAGAATTGTAAGATTACTGAAGTGTTCGCTTTCATGACAGGTCAGCAATGGCAGCCTCCAGGATTCTCTCATGATAATTTGTTTTCTTAAAGTGTTACTAAACCCACATAAAATATTCCAGTAAAGCATGTGTATTATACTCACTGTGGAACCTAAGGGGTTAATCCTCTGCATTGTGTAACAAGGATAGTTTGATCCTGTTTTCTCTGATCCTCCCTTTCTTCTACTGTCCCCAATCCATCTGCTGATAGTGCAGAGCCTTGAGGGCAAGCTGCACATGCTTAGTTTGGTGTGTATTGCTAGAGATTTTTTTTTTTCTAGATACAATGCATGTGATTAGCAGAGCGCCAATAAGCGCTGTCTAGACAGAGGGTCAGGGGTCCTGCAGCCTCATAGGACAATCAGGGGAGAATGAAAACTCCTCCTACAAGCTTTAACCAGTGCTCTGCTGGACACTGATAGAAATCACAAGACTGCTCTAACAGCTGATGAGAAAGGGTATTTAGCAGTTTAGATTTACTAAAAATGTAATTTCCATGTTGAGTGTACTGTGGGAGACCAGATATAGTGTATGTAAGGTCCTGGGTTTAGTAACACTAATTGTGTGCCAAGCCAACATTCTTCTAGTTTTTGATAGCATGCAGAAGGATTATAGTCCTTGTCAGGTTTTAGTGCTATTCAGAACTCCGTTGTTGAAGAGATTTTTCCTAACTTAGGGTCACAGTGATATTGGTTTCACCAAACAGGAAGTGGGGGGGGGGGGGGGGGGGGGGGGAACAGGGACACAGACAGCAATAAAAAAACTGATGGGGGTCCTAGCCCTCCTCTACACCACTAAAGCAAAACACGTTTCTGTCTGTCAGTTAGGAGGTGAGGGAAGCTCTCCAACTTCCATCTGATAAAATGTTAGCTCCAGAAAGCAGAAAAGACATGAAAGGAGTTCTAATTCTTTCCCACTTTATCCAAAACGAAGAAAATAAAAAAAAGTCTTGTTATCCCCAGAAAATGACTCATTCTTAAAGCCACTTGATCGTTGTGGAAATGAAACATGAATTGGCACATAAAGAATCCCAACAATCTGATCAACAAATGTATACACGACTAAATACAAGACATAGGGCAACAAAGTACTCAGTATGGACACGTTGTTTATTGAGGTCCATTAAATACAGGACAATAATACATTTAAAAGCTTTTCCCATACTGGTAATTATCTTTTTTAAGCTCTGGACACTTGATGCCTTTTAAATAAAAATGCTTACCTTCTCTATTGACAACAACAAAAAGAGTACATCTACTGAAACACACGATCTTCATATCAAAAAACAGGTTTCAAGGCAACAATATTAATAGCTCTCAGCAGCAGCAAGGCCTGAAACTCCGAGCTCCCCAGTGAATGGTCAGCCAGTGTTCCAGACCCCCTGCCAGAGGAGGAGTATAGGCCATAGCTTTGTCCCATGTAACACAGAACCACTTCACATATCCAGTTAGGTGCTCTTCTTCTCATCACCAAGCAAGTTCACAGTAGCCCGTTTAGCTTTAAGAATAAGGAAAAAAAAAAACAAAACACACAAAATAATTAGCAATTGATTACAATTATTTTAACACTTATTTTTCCAAGTCCAAGCATGTGTTACTTCCACACGGAAAGAATGTTACACCATCTCATATTCCTGATATGTGCCTACTGTACCATATACTTGTGTTGAAAAGTATCCTGTTCTCTTTGTATTACTTCCTTTGTATGAAATACCTGATGTTTCTGCCAGTCTCCCTCGTCTGCAAAATGGGTCCCAATATCAGGGGACAGGCAGATTCACCTCTCGGTTACAATACCTCTTGCTGCACTGACAGCCCTCTCAGACAGCACACTGGCTGCAGGGCAAACCAGAAGCTCCAGCGTATACAGTGCAAGCTCCGGCCAGTGGTCCAGAGGGCTCACCAATTCCTGCCTCATCGCAGCTCACCGTTTTTGTTGCCTCTTCCAAAGGTGCAAAAATATACTGTGCATGTCCTGAATGGTGAGCCATTGATGTGATGAAAAGGCCAAAGCATGTCCTCATACCATTATTGCACAGGTTATCACTGATGGCATGCTGCTACTGGGGCAGCCTCTGAACCATGGTGTTTAGTTCCAGCACATAGCGGTGTCACAGATGAGGAGCTTGGCAAGCAGCTAATACTGACACTGCAGTTCTGGTAGGCAAGCCATGGCCAGGTATAACGGTCAGGCCAGAAGGGCTTATGGTGACTTTAGGCAAAGAACTGCTTAATGTCACCATAGGTCCTTCTGGCCTGACAAAGGACCTCAAAGTCAAGGTACTTCATGAAGAACTGCTACACCACCATGTGAAGCACAGGTGCCAGGCAAGGTACACGTGATATTTCCCAGGCGAAGGCTGGCCAGCAAGTTATTGCTGTTGTGACACACAACCTTGCCTGGCTGGAAATAGCATGGGCTCAGCCACCTCTGGGCCATGGTGTTTAAAGCACAGCAGTGTTTCATGGCTGGGATGTTTCATATGCTTGATGGGTATGGGGGAGCATAAGGAGACAGAGAAGTGAGGAGGGAGTACGGGTGACTTTCACAATTTGACAAGAGTGGCATCACTGCCAACTCCAGGGGTGTTCCCCATCCTGCATCCTTTCCAACCACCACAAGATATAAACAATTGTGTTGTAAAGCCACAGCCATGCCTACTGGACCATGTATCAGTGGTCAAGTGTACACGGTTGCTGAAGGCATGGCCCAACAACAGCCCAATTACATTCCACATGCTGGCGGAGGGCAGGCATGGCCTTCTTGGAAAAATAATGGTGGCTGGGTATCTGCTGCTGTGATATAGCACAGCCCATAAACTCACATAAGGGGCTCCAGGATGAACAGAAGCAGCTGAAGAGCTAGCAGTTTTGTCAAGGTTACATTAGGATACTGGGCATGGGGGTGATTTGTATACATTGTTTTTTCTCCAACAGAAGCTGTGGAATGGACACCTGTCTTGGGAGGAGGCTTGAGGAGGAGGCAGGGTGGGTGTAGATTTCTTCAGAGATTCAAGCCTTTACTTGATTCTCCTCAATATGGCCCCTCTTCTCCACTTGCCATGGCAAATCTTAAAGCCCAACTCCAAGTTTAATTTACCTTTAAATGGCTTGTTTAGACCAGGGGTCTCTCAACTATGGTCCTCCAGGTGTTGAGGAACTGCAGGTCCCATGAGGCCTTGCATGACTGACAGCTACAGGCAAGACTCCCAGAGGCATGATGGGATTTGTAGTACTCCAACACCTGGAGGGCCTTAGTTTGAAGACCCCTGATTTAGACCAAGCTGCCTCAAACAAACTACTTCCTTCACCAATACATGCACATACTTTCAGCGCTGTATAAACTGTATGTAGCTGTTCCAGCAGCAGTACGGAACTTCCCGTCCTGTCCCTGGAACAAGATCGAGTCAGGCTGAGCGCTGCTAGTCCATTCACAGGTAGTTTTATTTTATGTGTGAATACAAGACTTCCTCTGATTGGCTGAGGTGGAGATTGTGAAATACAACATACGGTTCAGCAGCAGTACAAAGATGTGCTGTCATTTCCTCAATACAAAATTAAGTCAGGCTGAGCGCCATTCAGCCATTCCCGAGAAGCTTTGTGGTTTATGAATGAATGAAGGCTTCCTCTGATAGGCTGAGATGGAGAGGTAGATGGAGAACATCACAGTCACCACCTCCCCTATTAAATAAGAACTGAATATACAGTATACCAATTCTAAAGTAAAACTAAAGGCAAAACTTTTTTTTTTTGACAGTGTAGATGGATTAGAACACCTGTCCACTTTTATTGCTGTCTGTGTGAAACTGAAAGAAAACCCCAAAATGTGAGTTGTCCCCAGAAAAGTTAGAGGGGAAATCTTCCATTGGGGACACTTAATTCTTTGGGGACCCCTAGGTTACCAGAACTACTTTCATTTGCAGGAATTTCCTCTCACTTCCTGTTTGGCTATGGGACAGGAAAGTGAAGGGAAATCTCCGCAATGAGACACAGATGGCAGAAAAAAAAAAAATCTGATGGGTTATAACCCTGCCTTACTTTATCCAAAATGAAAAAAAGTTTTTTTGTTTTATCATGTGTATTGATTCATGTTTTTACGGCAATTAAACATTTATAAATTTTTCTTATTACAAGCCGCAGTTTGACCTCTTTTGGACCCGCTTGACTTAGGCATCTTGTGCCTCTGTCATTGTTTTCCCTTAGCCATGTGGTGTCCTCAGGACCCAAACATAACTATTTCCATGTGAGTCAGTATATATATATATATATATATATATATATATATATATATATATATATTTCTCTCTCTCTCCCCCTCCCCCTCACATATATATATATATATATATATATATATATATATATATATATACATACATATACATATATACACACACACATATATATATATGCCACTATTTAGTTTATTATATAATTTTTGACCCCCCTTTTTCCTAGGTATTCTCACTATAGTCCATAGTTGGCAGTGTCCCGGTTACCCTCTTTTCTACATGAAAAAAAAGGTTTTACCTATAGTTCTGCTTTAAATGTGACTGCATATATTTTTGGTTCTTTTTAACTTTACTTTCAGCTGTTGATCTGGCCAGTAACACACTCAATCTTAGGATGTATCCACTCCACTGGAAGAGCAATGGAGACACCTTTGAACAGCAGCATGGTCAGCCGAGGGTGAATGGTAGTGTTAGTCATGTCTATCTAAATACTGTATCTAACAAATTAAACCGGAACTCCAGATAACATTTTTAAGCAGTTAAAGCAACAGTGTATTGTCTTTACTGGAAAGCTTGGTCGGCTAAAGGAAGTTGAACAACAACATTTATTGGACGGACCATCATGTGAAAAAAGGAACCTAATGCAGCCACCACATCTAAGAAATAGTTAGCTGCAACATATTACATTTTTGTGAAGGATTTATTATGGCTTTAATTCAAGTCTTCTCAAAATTTTAAAAATCCAAACCTGATGGAACGTGTCCCTTTTACACAGTTTCAATGGAGGAAAAGCCTACTAAAAGGTGTTTTACTGCAGAAGTACCTTGGTGGCATCCTTCTGTAAAACTGGTATCATTAGATCATTCAGCCAAACTGAATTCTTAAACTGGGAATTGTTGCTGTTGCCAGATTTATCGACAAGTTCTAGAATGATCTGTAGGATGCTTACAGTGACAGAAAAAAAAAAAAAAAAAAAAAAAAAAAAAAAAAAGAGAGGTTCTGCATGGATTCCCTCTCCCAACCCAAAGAAAGACTGAATGGATTCCACCTTACTATAGAATGTATGCACATGTACTGTATGTATTATAAAGCAATGCTGGGGCTCATCCAAATCAACAAAATATAAAAAGTCACCCAGGATCCAAATAAATAGACGGGACGTCCCTCAATTACTTTACCACATTACCCTGAACAATGCTCCAAACAAGGGATGTATGTTGGATAGCATGAGATAAATAAAGCAATGTAGAAATGTTTAGGAGTAAAAAAAAAAAAAAAAAGTATGTACAGTATGTCTACACCAAATAGTGTATGTGTCTGCATGTACAGATATTATTCTGCAAGCTCGATCAGTGGCAGAGACTTATGTGAGTGCTTTCAAATTCTCTATTAAACAGAATATGATTTGCTTGCACTTTCAGGTGTTTGATCATTTTAGTGTACTGTAAAGCAAAGCTTTTCTTCCCCACAAGATAGGAACACAAACAATCCATTATACAAGCCTTCCATCAAGATCAACAACACTACCATCAGTCCCTCCCCTCATGCCAGGGTACTAGGTGTAATCCTAGACTCCAATCTGTCCTTTCAGTCCCAAATCCAATCACTGACAAACTTCACCTCCACAACATCTCCAAGATACGCCCGTTCCTAACCTCAGAAACCACTAAGCAACTTATTCACTCCCTTGTTATATCTCACCTTCACTATTGTAACTCCCTCCTCCGTGGCCTACCTCATCGCAGGCTATCCCCTCTTCAGTCTATCATGAATGCTGCTGCCAGACTCCACCTTACTAACCGTTCTGTATCTGCCACCCCTCTCTGCCAATCCCTCCACTGGCTTCCCATTGCCCAACGGATAAAATTCAAAACACTAAAGCCGTTCATAACATTGCCCCTAATTACATCACCGACCTGGTCTCTAAATACCACCCAAACTGTACTCTCCGCTCCTCACAAGACCTCCTACTCTCTAGCTCCCTTGTCTCCTCCTCCCATGCTCATCTCCAGGATTTCTCAAGGGCTTCCCCCATCCTCTGGAACTCTCTACCCCAAGCTATCAGGCTATCGCTTACTCTGCTCACTTTTAGGCGATCTCTGAAAACCTATCTCTTCAGGGAAGCTTACCCCGACCCCAGCTAATACTGGAATCAACTCCTCCTCCTACCACTCCATCCTCCACGGTTATTACCTTTTGTACCACTAGCCCCTCCCCTCCCTAGATTGTAAGCTCCAAGGAGCAGGGCCCTCCTATCCCTCTTGTATTGAACTGTATTGTTACTGTACTGTCTCCCTCCATAATGTAAAGCGCTGAGCAAACTGTTGGCGCTATATAAATCCTGTATAATAATAATAATACTGTAATGAGGGAGACTAAACGTGTGTATATGTATAGATTTTATATATTCATATAGATCTTTACACAATAATTCAATTACCTTCCTTTCCAAATGTGTCTGCAGTCTCAGCAGCCTTGTCTTTAAGGTCCTTCACTATGCGATCCATCTGACCCTCATGTTTGAGGAAAAAATGGACGGATAATTTTCTTGTAAAGCAGCTCAGCACCGTTAGATGGACTGGGAGACATGCACCACAGCAGGAATCCACACTGTAAACAGGAAACAACACATCATTCACAGCAACCATATCCATAACAACATTGACAGATATATTATTGCAAGTCACAAAAGCCACTTCAGTATTTGTAGGTTAAAAAAAATCAATAAATAAAAGTCAAATCACTGGGTCTCTGTGCTTATGCAACACAGGCAGATCATGGCTGGTGGGAGGGGCCAGCAGGGTGCTGTTACTAACTTCTTGAAGTCATCACGGCACCCTGCCTCTTTATTCCTCTGCAGAGGCACAAGACCTTAATCAGTGAACTAGATTTTAGGAGGCGTTATGCAAAAATGACTTGATACTTGGATGTCAGTCTGGATTCATGGGTGTTCCTAGGCTGGCTGTATTTGCATATAGACTGCCCTGGGCAAAACCCACATATCATGCTGAGCCCTCCATGATTAGGAGAACTAAAATCCAATGAAAGGAGCAGGTCAGGGACAATAATGCTGGGGAGGTACATGCTAGATTATGCTGGATGTCTTCCAGCCAGATAAAGCAGGCTCTGACTTAGTGCAGCTTCCAACGCACACTGAGCAGCTCACAGTGTGCAGGGAAATCATAATAATGACAGTAAAGGAGAGGATCCTCTACAATTAAGCAAGACTGAAGGTGATGCTGGATTGTGGCTAGAACTGGATCAGGTTAGAGCACTACACTGCTACAGAATGACATAATGTACATTGCCAATATAAAAAAAAAAATCAGCAATCTGTATTTATATTTATGGTGACAACCTGGGAGGTTGAATTTAGAAAGGACAGGCAGACCATTAAGAAATGACAATACTTGGCAAGGATGGTGGTTGCTTAGAACCTTTGGAGGATAACATTGGAGAATGTGTCAGTGATTGGGAATATTCTCCATTACATTGCCATGTGATGGATGAAATTAGGACCTGGAGGCAAACATAACTGACAGGAGGGAAGGTGGGTTAGATTTGGGTTTGTATTTTAATTACAGGTTTGCTTTGAAGACCTTTAGAGGGCTACTCCATGCCTTACTATGTTACTGGACTTCTGGCTCTTCCTCTGATGGCCTTTCCTTCTACTTTCCACCCTTTTTACCTGCATCTTTCACAGATTGCCCAATCCTTTGTTCAACTACCACACACCTCTTGGGTTTTGTTAATTGTTGGTGAACATAATTGGGCCCCATGTTCCAAGCTCCTAGTTTGTTCATAAAATGTTTCACCATTCCTAAGCGTTCAGCCTGTGTTTTATTTTACAGTTCCCAATTAATTAAAAATGAAAAAAAAAAAAAAAAAAAATATTCAAATCCGTATTCGCCTTTATTCATACATTATGTTCGGGCCAACACAAAAACCACAGAGGTAAAAGAGGAGGGTGCTTCTGCCACAAACATTCAACACTTTGTATTAGCAGTTTTTTTTAAAGGAAAACAATGTGCCAAGACGATTTGCATAAACATATAGTTGCTTTACAAGTCACACCCTGGGCTGGTATACAAAATATACATATTTACCAAGGGATGTGGGAGTGAGAACATGTTTATGAAGTTCTCAGACACATGGTTCTGTGTCCAGCCCAGCAATTAGCAGATAAACCTTTTAAAATCAGATAAACAAGCAGTGCAAATACAAGCAAACGTAAAAACACTCTTCATCTGATGATTCCAATTTCTTAGCTTGCAAGGAGTCATCAGCTGAAAAAAAAAAAAACGACTGAAAGTAAACCACAGACAGTAAAACCCCATAGTTAAGAAGTATTTTATGACATTCCCCCAACCACTGGTGTAGCATCAGGGAGTCACAATGGCGATCCTGCCTCATGCTCCAGGGGTCCCATGCGGCCTACCTATCACATTCTGTTTTACACTGGGAGAGGAGGGGCGACAGGGCAGCATATACAGGAAACAATCCTCTCCATTTTCCTCCTGCAAATGCTGAAAACCGGCTCCTCCTGCTCTCCTTCCTGCCAGAATTTAGCAGCTGCAGGAGGAAAATGTTTATTATGCTATTCAAAATAGAACAAAATTCTGAACCATTTCACTTCGTGTGGCCAGTGACTGGTTACCACATCACTTAAGTGGCCCTCGCACTTCAAAAGGTTGAGCCCCCTACTGTACATGTTGGTGGGTACACACCCTCTGCAAATCACCATATCCAAGGGCTAAAAGAGAGAGGTAATTATACAATGAATGCAGACAAGGAAAAACACTGCACAAGCACAATGATTGCCTTCAGTGAGTGGCTAGCATTTCAATGCCATGGACTAACTTACCTTGATCATGTAGTAAAAGGGGAACCAGGACAGGAAGATATCAGAGAAGAATTCTATAATGCTGAACACCCCATACACCACCCAATAGGTCAGCCACTGTGTGTCGTCATCTTTATTTGGGCTCTCAATGGCTTTAATTCTGAAAAAGAGAAACAGAAAAGATTATGGTCTTTATTCACAGTAGTTTATTCCAATAGCTCCTGCATTGCTGGTTCTTATTGCAACAATTATCTCAGGCATAGATAGCTTATCTTCACTTTATAGCCTGATGTGCTATGCTACTGTACACACGCAGCAATGCCAGGGATGACTGCCAATAACCATTGCGCCTATCTGGAAAAGACTTTTTTTTTTTTTTATCTAAACAGGATGTCATAACAGTAAGATAATTATTGGGTGCCCGACTACGCCTTCCCTTTTCCCCCAGCTCTTCCATTCACAGAAGCTGTACTACAGAGTATGAATGAAACATGACCTATGAATGGAGGACAGCTTGATTATTGAAAGGCCTTCCATTCATAGTTCTGCATCTGGTAAAAATGACATGATCTTTGTTGCTGTGAAGTATATTCCAAAAACTAAAAAAACAAAAACTAGATCTGTACACACTGAGGGGGCACAACAAAAAAAAGACTGAAATATGGTTTAGCCGAGGTGGACTGGATTTAAATCACAAGTGAAAAGGCTCAAATTAAATCATATCATAATTTTTAAAGAGCAACTGTCACCTCTGTCCCACGGCGGCTCCTCCTCTGACCCGCTGTTGACTCTCCGACAGGCCCATTCACTTTAACCTCTTCAATACCGACACTTTTACCCCCTTCCTGCCCAGGCCATTTTTCAGGTTTCAGCGCTCTCACACTTTGAATGAAAATTGCGCGGTCATACAACATTGTACCCAAACTAAAATTTTATCATTTTCTTCGCACAACTAGAGCTTTCTTTTGGGTGGTATTTAATCACCGCTGGGGTTTTTATTTTTTGATAAACAAAAAAAGACCGAAAAGTTTGAAAAAAAAAAAAAAAGTTTCTTTGTTTCGGTTATAAAAGTTTGCAAATAAATAATTGTTCTTCATAAATTTAGGCCGAGATGTATTCTGCTACATGTCTTTGGTGAAAATAACCCAAATTAGGATGTATTTTTTAGTTTGTAGGAAATTTATAGAGTTCACAAACTATGGTATAGATCTGAATATTGATCAATCCTGAAGTACTGACAGCCAATCTAATTTCTTGAGGTCCAAGAATGTCAGAACAGTACAGATATCCCCCAAATGACCCCTTTTTGCAAAGTAGACAGTCCGACGTACTTCATAAGAGGGATGGCGAGTTTTTTGAAGTTGTATTTTTTTGTCATAATGAAAAAATTAAAAAAATTGTCCGTTTTTTTTTTTTTTTCTTTTACATACTGTCACCAGTGCAGTACAGCGTCATCATATAACTGGCATGGTGGTGAAAAGGGACACGGACTGGTGACAGTGTGAAAAAAAAAATATATATATATATATATATATATATATATATATATATATATATATATATATATATATATATTTATATATATACACACACACACACACACACACACACATTTTATTATTTTTAATTTTTTATTACTTTTTTTCATATTTCACTATGACCAAAGTAGCACAATGTTACCATAGTAACATTGTACTACTTTGGGGAAGTGATCAGTATTTTTTTTTTTTTTTTTTTTTTTTTTTTTTTTTTTACACAATTTGCTTATAGCAAAGAATTACTTTGCTATAACCAAGCATTTACCTGAATGACATCGATTCGTTCATGGTTTTTTTTTTTTTTTTTTTGTGCTTAGCTGTGATTTGGCCACGGCTAATCACATGACACAGCTGGGCTGTGATTGGCCCAGCTTGTGCATGTGATTGCTGTGACCATTCACAGCTAGACACACTAATATACAATGGATGGCATGAACGAAGCCATCCATTTTATACAACTGTCATGTGACCTGCTGTGATTGGTCACAGCAAGTCACATGGTACCAGCAACGGGGCCAGTACTCAATTCTGTCATCTTCTGTGTCCGAGGTACACGGCCGGTGACAGATCGCGCTGCTGCGCGGCTCTGCAGGCGCGCACACTGCGCATTCCCGAGAGGACGCCATATCGCGTCCACCCGGAAAGTTGGGGGTTTTTGCCAGCCGCCATTTGGCCATAGGCCGGGCGGGAAGAGGTTAATGGTACGGCTGGTGATGCAGCAGTGACAACAAGGTGAGGGACGTGGCAGCAGAAGGTGAGTGGATGCCCTCTAACAGGCACTGCCATGATGGATCTTAAATGACAGGTACTCTTTAAATGTAAGGAATCCGACTCATTCTTGCTGGTAGTTAGACTCTTTAATATCTGCAAACCAAATGGTTTCTTTTTTAGAATAATAAGCTGTCAGGTTAGTAAAACAGCAATATCAGAACCGATTTTATGTTAATCACACATAGCTGGAGATCTACTCAAATTCTTGTATTTAATGTTTTTTTCTCATGGTTTCTGTGAAATTGTGTGAATGCATCATGTTATCTCAGCTTGTAGAGCTTGGATTCATTGAATGAGTTTACCAAATTGCAGAATATACAGCCTCCTTCTACATAACTAAGCTCCATTTTATGCTGAATAAAGTAAATTACTAATGTATCTTAAATAGAAAACTATCTTTAAATAGATTTTTACTCCAAAAGCATTTTAATAAAATAAAATAATAAAAATCAATGATTTGATTTCAATTTTAAAAAATCTGATTAAAATTTTTAAAAATTGGATTGTTGAACACACGTGCGATTTGACCCATTATACAAGAGGGGCCTTACTATCTGGCTATCATTTAAGATATTGGTGAGAAGATCACTTGAAGAGGATTGTTGATTAAGGAACATTGCACATACAGTATGTACACTATATTGCCAAAAGTATTGGGACACCCCTCCAAATCATTGGATTCAGGTGTTCCAATCCCTTCCATGGCCACAGATGTATAAAATCAAGCACCTAGGCATGCAGACTGCTTCTACAAACATTTGTGAAAGAATGGGTCACTCTCAGGAGCTCAGTGAATTCAAGCGTGGTACTGTGATAGGTTGCCATCTGTGCTATAAGTCCATCCATGAAATTTCTTTGCTACTAAATATTCCACAGTCAACTGTTAGTGGTAATATAACAAAGTGGAGGCAACTGGGAACAACAGCAACTCAGCCATGAAGTGGCAGGCCACGTAAAATGACAGAGCGGGATCAGCACAAGCTGAAGCGCACAGTGCGCAGAAGTCGCCAACTGTCTGCAGAGTCAATAGCTAAAGACCTCCAAACTTCATGTGACCTTCAGATTAGCACAACAGTGCATAGAGAGCTTCATGGAATGGGTTTCCATGGCCAAGCAGCTGCATCCAAGCCTTACATCACCAAGTGCAATGCAAAGCATCGGATGCAGTGGTGTAAAGCACGTCAACACTGGACTCTAAAGCAGTGGAGATGTGTTCTCTGGAGTGACAAATCACGCTTCTCTGTCTGGCAATCTGATAGACATGTCTGGGTTTGGCGGTTGTCAGAAGAAAGGTACTTGCCTGACTGCATTGTGCCAAGTGTAAAGTTTGGTGGAGGGGGGATTATGGTGTGGGGTTGTTTTTCAGGGGTTGGGCTTGGCCCCTTAGTTCCAGTGAAGGGAACCCTTAAGGCATCAGCATACCAAGATATTTTGGACAATTTCATGCTCCCAACTTTGTGGGAACAGTTTGGGGATGACCCCTTCCTGTTCCAACATGACTGCACACCAGTGCACAAAGCAAGGTCCATAAAGACATGGATGAGTGAGTTTGGAGTGGAGGAACTTGACTGGCCTGCACAGAGTCATGTGCGTGTAAAGGCAGGCGTCCCAATACTTTTGGCAATATAGTGTATACTCTAGCGCTGTGAATAAGGACTATCAGTTGGAGATGTTTTTGGGCAAAGGAGGATTCCAGAAGCTGGGATAATATGCTTTTTGAAGGATGAGTATAAGGATGTGCAGAGTGTTAAAGCTCACCTTTCTGAATATTTTACACCCGTACTTAGGGTGCAACATGTTCAGCATTAACCCCCCCCCCCCCCCCCCCCCGTGACAGCAAGCAGGGGATCTTCTCCCTGCACCTGCTGTCACAATTTCAAACAGTGCAACAGAATAGTTGCATCAGCCATTGCAAATGACAGCTTGTAGTCCTCAATGAACTGTGGGGGTTCTGGTCATAGCTCTCATAGATCATTGATCTTCCTACTCTCAAGTAACTGCCTGCCTGTATCAGAGGTACGGGCACCTTGCTTTTTTGAAATTCTGCAGGAGCCTGACATTGCACCTGTGATTTGCTGTTCGTGGGTACAATGCTTTACAGGCTCCTTAGAAAAAAAAAAATAAAAAGCACTTTTTTTTATGCCTGCAAAAAAAAAAAAAAAAAAAAATGTGCGTTTACTATTTTTTTTTTCTTCAAAAAGGTGAACTTAGCCTTTAAGCTAGAATGAAAGCTAGAAGCTGATTGGTTGCCATGCACAACTGATCCAAATTCTGGCTGCTCTAGATTTGACAAATTCCCCTCATACTGATCACAGGGAACGCAGACCATACTTTGGACCAGACAGAGGCAACCTGCAATATATGGAATTTGTAAAGCTGGGGTACTTTCAATTGTAGGCAAATTTTCCATACACAAGTTATACTAATGGGTATGAAACGTGACAGTAAGGCCTTGGTTAGACTTGCTTTGCTGTGTGAAGTGCGATCCATGTTCAGATCACTCTTCAGAGAGTGAACAGACAGACCATGAGGAGGCATTGTATCACCTCTTCGCTGCCTGTTTTAACCCTCTAATTACCGGACAACCACAGGATCATGCTTGGCACTGCCCACCGAGCACGACATGAGATAGAATTCCTGCCACAGCTGTGAAGCAAAGAATTGCAACCAAGGCATAGGTACATCCCTGGTCACTGCCTCAGCAGAAACAAGGGGAGGGGTTAATTGGTGGTAAAGTGGCTCAGCCATGGGGTTTTACTGCTCCACAACCACTAATGTATACGAGCTCTAAAGCCAAAGCCATCCACAACACTGCCCCTAGCTACATCGCCAACCTCATCTGCAGATATCG